TTGTAGTTAAACTAAACATTTTGGCTTCATGAAACACATGCTTAAAGAAACCCTGACGTGAAGATTCCAACGAACAAATATCAATTTGTATAGACCAAACATTTCAATATAGAAATTACAATAAACAAACAAAATACATATTTGTTCAGGAATATTTGTGTTGCATAACACTCCTACAGCCGATAACACATCGGCCCTTCATCATCCTGGTATGCAATAATAATTACGTATTTTTTAAAAGCAAGTCCATTACTAAATGTTATAATAACATTAACAAGTTTTGAAATTGCACGAGGTATCTTTAAATTCGCAATGTGGCTCAAATTCCATTAACACGTTTTTCGTCATTCGTCTATAAAATACATATATTATTTACAGAACATTTCTCTGCATCATATATTTTTTTTTATTGATCACGATTTTTATACTGAATACAACATTTAAAGATAAGCTGATGTCGAAGTGCATATCTCACGCGAACATTCACGCAAAGCAAGCATTTGGGATAATGTTTTATGCGTTCTCCTCGGATTTCCGTCAAATCCTAAAAATACTGATGCGCAATGGAAATTATCAAAAAATACCTCCTTATAATAATTTAACCTAATTCATTGTGTAAACATATAGAATCATCCATCAAACATTTATTACAATGTGCTCACTTTAATACCCAACACAGACGTTCTTCATAAAGTATATCTTCTATCCGGCACCATACTCTTAGTTCCGGAGACACGTTTTTGTTTTCCAGTATTGCACCTAGCTGTTTATTTCATGTTTTGGTTAAACCATCGACAAAGCTTTCGTGTCAAACCCACATAGAGTTTTCTATCATACAACATTAAGCGGGAGCCCTGGTACAGCCCAACCGTTGCGTGGTAAAGCCTACTTCGGTCACCGCTGCATATCACCCCATACATGCTTGGATTAAGCCAATGTTTCGTACTGAATTAATATTTAATTCATACTTTGAATTTTTATGAAACTGCATATACTCTTAGGTATGAACAATCAAGAATAAATAACAAAGTTCGAAAATATCAAAACTGTTAAACCTGTGAATTCGTATTCGTATAATTTGAAACTTTATTAATATTATTTTGAATTGCATATTTATATTTTAAGAATTAATCATGTTTGTGGGATTATTTTTAAATTATCTAAAATATCTTATAATGGATATTTGCATGAGAAATTGTGGTTTAATTGTACATTACGAATGAATTTAATTCAGGTTCGTTGGTGTACATTCAGGATTAAATACTGACATTTCACATCCTCTTATCGGCCTATTGAAAACGAAATGTAAACAAACTTAATGAACTTCTGCATAAAAATAATCTTTCCTTTGATTAACTATCCCAACGATATTGTCGGGACATGTAAAGCACATAGAATGTTAATGCTCTATAATTCCAAACAAAAAAACAAGCACAACATGCTTGTTCCGGAGTAGGGATCATAAATAATGAAGAGATAATTCATTTGGTTTTGGTTGGTTGAATTTACATATTAATCCGGTTTGTATTCCCAACTGTCAACATGACATGTTCTCGTATTCAATAAACGCACGCTTATTGAATATAACAACGTCGTTGTGGAATACGTGATGCATTGAATATAGCCTACGTTGTTATAGAGTACGTGAAACATAGCATAACGTTGTTATAGAATACGTTAAACGTTGAATATAGCATAGCGGTGTTATAGAATACATGAAACATAGCATAGCGGTGTTATAGAATACGTGAAACGTTGAATATAGCATAGCGGTGTTATAGAATACGTGAAACGTTGAATATAGCATAGCGGTGTTATAGAATACGTGAAACATTGAATATAGCATAGCGGTGTTATAGAATACGTGAAACGTTGAATATAGCATAGCGGTGTTATAGAATACGTGAAACATTGAATATAGCATAGCGGTGTTATAGAATACGTGAAACATTGAATATAGCATAGCGGTGTTATAGAATACATGAAACATAGCATAGCGGTGTTATAGAATACGTGAAACGTTGAATATAGCATAGCGGTGTTATAGAATACGTGAAACATTGAATATAGCATAGCGGTGTTATAGAATACGTGAAACGTTGAATATAGCATAGCGGTGTTATAGAATACGTGAAACATTGAATATAGCATAGCGGTGTTATAGAATACGTGAAACATTGAATATAGCATAGCGGTGTTATAGAATACGTGAAACGTTGAATATAGCATAGCGGTGTTATAGAATACGTGAAACATTGAATATAGCATAGCGGTGTTATAGAATACGTGAAACATTGAATATAGCATAGCGGTGTTATAGAATACGTGAAACATTGAATTATATAGAATGTGATTCACAGAATATAGCATAGCGTTGTTGGAGAATACGTAAATCAATGTTTCAACGTTTGTTGGTTAGCTTACACACAAACACACACACTTACACGCACACACATAGATATATATAGGTCAGCGTGTCAAATATTACACGCAATGATTTTAATTACAAAGTGTTACACGTACGTCCGGATGTCGGATTCTGTACTTGAATACGCACGACATAATGTAAGATCTTAGTATTGATGCCATGGTTTTGGTGTTTGTAATTATTGACACCTCAGTTAAAGCTGGTCGTGAATGGCGTGTTATGAATCCAATGGCCCAGGTGTTACTGAAGTCTAATATTCGGCGCCACATTGTATATCGGCGATATGAATGGCGCATTAGTTGTCTGTGTAGTACTCTCGTCATATATCTACAGTTGTATAACACAAGTCATAAGCTAATACCAAGTTATTTTGTACAACCTGAGATTGAAGTGCGATACAGCATTATGCTTCTTTTGTAATATGACAAGATTAATTTCAACTTTGACACATGGAATGTTTGAATGAAAAGAAACTTGGTTATTGTACCTCAATTCAATAAGGGCATTCGGCGAATCTGAGAGGACATATGGATATGGGTTATCTACATTGGACTGATGTGTTGAGATGTAAGCTTCGTGAAACCCATTGTCATCGAACCTTCACATATATCATTCTGATAAATGAAGCTTTTTCGAATCCCAGCATCAATACTATTCCTGCCGCACCCCTCCCGGTGGTGACACGTTCCTCTCCTTCCCTCCCCACACCCCCTCCCCATACCCTCCCCATACCCCTTTCCATATCCCCATTCATCACCCATTCACACACCACAATTCAACGGCAAACAACCCGTACATAAGCTTGTGAATATCAAATGACTGCTTTCAGCCCTCTACCCACTACACACTATATCAGCTTACAACACATAAATGTACAGCTCACTCCAAACTCTGTTCTTTCTGCACTAATAAACACTAATACATTATCGTGAATTGTTGTAATAGCCTGCAAATATCTGCAATTTATTTTCCCAAATTGCTAGATTATTACTGTTTAATGTCTGGAACTACAACAAACTAGTTCTGTAGAAAACGGTATGCTATTAACTACGGTCGGTATTCCCGGCAAATTGGTCTGTTTGCTAAATCCATCTTAATTGAGGCAATAATTGAGTATAAATGTTACCGAGGTGTACATAGTCACACTGTACGACCTCTGACCCTGACGGGTTGTCAGCACTGATGTGAAACTGTTAAACCGCTTTAGGAACCATTACACAAACTGTCAGAACTCCCGACATTGCCAGTTTCCCTGTTGTCTATATATAATGGATACACATACTAAACGTTTAGAAATCGAAGTTCTTCACAGAAACGAGTATACATAATTCAGTTCCAATTAAAACACTATACAAATGCTTTAGCCTATATCTTTCAACTCCCCGGAATAACCGATACCCGCTGATGCACAGGGTTTCAGAGAACCACTTCACACCGAATCAAAGAACCAATGCAACTAAGTGAAACATGTGTATATAGAATGGCTTAACGCCATGCATATTTCAGGTACCATTCACATGAAACTTGTCGTCGTGCAGATTGTGGATCACAGGCACCTTGTCCCTCTTCCACCACCCCCTCTCCCAACGAAGTCCCCATGTTCACATAAGTACAAAAAGGTTAAGTTCATGTCTTCCGATAATGAAATACCCTTAGGCTCAGCGGTCGTAATGGTTAGCACTAGATTAGTCCACTTTCACGAAAATCGGCAGAGATATCAGTCTATTTATCGATCAGAATCAAATATATACGATGTAGGTATCCTTGGGGTTAGCCGTCGTGGGATGCACTGCGATGTTAAAAATAACACTGGATTTCCCTACTTCCTCATCGCACACGGGAAACTCGAGTATATTCACAAATATGTCATTAACAAGATATTTGATTTCATTCTGAAAAATACGTGTTATCCGATCACCTCTTCATTAAGACGATTTGACTTAGCGCATAATCACAGGCTTGTGACAATTGTTGATAAACCCAAGAAGCTTCAGTTCGCTGGCTAAACAACTCAGGTATAATGTCCTGTCGATGTGCATACACATGTTGCCTATGTGAGCGATTGTATTGGTATTATGGCACAGGTGTGGTCGGTCTGCAGCGATTACACGTTCACCTGTAATTAACGGCGGAGTCGTCAGCAGTATTTTCGTCGTTGTTGTTCACAAATATATGAGTGGATGTTCTTTTTGTAAGGGATTTCGTGCTTTTTTCGTTCTGACAGCAACATCAGTGTTGTGTTGCGCGTTGTAATTGTCAAGTATACCTGTGTTCGTTCCAAATTGAATAAAATACCTCCCGTTGGTTTGTTTTCATTCCATTTTATATTGGCATCTCACACAGGTGTATTCGGAAACAGGCGAACGGTGTACCTGTACATGCATGTGTGGATGCAATTAAGCAGGTAGATAACTCAACATGGTATTTAGTTAGACTGCGTGCAGAAGCCCAGCAGGGTTCAAATGGCAAACGTGTGACCCAGTCACACCCCGTCACAACTCAGCTGTTACGGGCGCACCTTTAATCAAAGGTATTGTTTCACCTGTAATCAACAACATCAAAAGATTCTCACCTGCGTAACAGCAACACACGAGAAACGCTGCAAAGATGGCAATTCCGAGTTTGACGTGTTCTAAGTACATCCACATGACGATTTGTTGTAGAACTCCCAGAAATACTCAGCCGCATTGATATGGGACGTGAAAACCTCCCAAGTCGTCCAAGCAGTGATAGACCATCAAAACTTGCCACCAGTCTTGAGAAATCATAACACACTCTCACTGCCGTCTGTCGAGGGCCTAGAAAACACTGTATCCATATCGTCTCCGCAGTGTCAACTCGGGACTTGACACTAAGAACGGTTAAGAGACATCCGTCTTACACCACTTTATAATTGCACTTTGGTTCACCATCCAAAACAGTCACCCTTGTTTAAAGCTCCGATGTAGAACGTAACACACATCTAGAACCGATGCAGCTCAGCCTTAGAGTGTAGCTTTAATTTGATGACGTGACACGGGTTGTTTGTAAACAAACGCCAACGGTTTCCAGATAGGCACTGACAAGTATGGTAAAATCCTTATCGCAAACCGGCCACAGTTCCACAAATCCTGGTCGCTACAGAGTGTTTCCACTAAAAACAGCTGTCCCATCCGCCGGCGTGTTCAGGTGGGTTGCACGCGAGAACACTACTCAACACCTTCTTCAGCTTTATGACAACAAACATCATCCCTCGACACTACCACGTGGTGCAGCGCCCATACGTACACAATATCAGTGCTTCAAAACTAGTTAGGTCATTTTAATGTTAATCAGGCGACCAGCGAAATTTGAGAATCTAATTTTACGTTCAGCTTATTTGCATAGGTTATATTACGATCGATAATCCGCGCTGGGGATAGCAACATTTTACCGTGTACTATTGATCGGTTTCGAGGCGACCCGTTTTAATTGCGCGGACGTACGGGGTGTCTCGAAACGGTCTGTTTGCCTGATGAATAATTTCTATCGAGCGGCGAACTGACGAATCACAAGCGAGAAAAGGCACGTGCGATACAGTCGGTGTTTTGATTGGTGCGCTATGCCGCATGTAGTATGACGGACGGTTAGTCTTTGTTGCGTTGGGAGTTAATTCATAGTATTGAAAAAACGCCACCTTAAAGTCAGGGACGGTATAAAAAGATTTGTGCATTTGGAAATAATACATCCCTGAAGTACAATGAATAAACCACGCGAAACGACATAGCATCTACTCTTTCAGGATTGACATGATGACGCGAAAATGTCAATTTCTGCGTGCACGTGGGAAAGCATAAACACGTGCTCTCTCACGCTCGCGGGATATTCACACCTTGACAACTTTCAACTGAAATCAATATCACCAATAAACACGCCACACAGAAATTCATAAAAACACAAAAAGCAAGGATCTTTGATTTATTACTTGAAATTTTGTTCTTCTCGAATCTGCCCCCGAAAATCTCCATTACCACCTGCTAAGGGGGCCATGAAACTCTGATGATGTTTATAAAGCACTTTGCACAAACTATAAACGCCATCATCTCGGAATTAAATCATAATGTCCAATGATTTATCTCATTCTGTGGTACCAAGAAGGCGATAAATGATTTTACGACGACGCGATCAGACTCGTTTTTAATATCACTTTCATAAATTCACCTTCTAACTATTTTATCATATTTGTCGACAAAGATGACATTATTAATTTCATTATTTTCCCGTTTTCTGAAATCTGCGTCGTATATGAAATCACATCAAATAACCCGCACAACGCTGTTGGCTTCAATTTGAAACTTGTTGCCATGTTGAAATCTTCATAGGTTTCAGAACAAATGAATCTCTCAAACTCTGAAAAAATATCATCATCAGTGTATGCAACATTTTGTAATATAAAATGTCATATTCTTTTGCAAATTCAGAAAAGTTTTAACGTCGACTTTTTACGGCGCTGAAGTGGAATGAGTTTCCAATGCTTGATGAGGGCTTGTTATTATATCTACTTGGCCCTAAATCCGTGTCAGTCTAACCCGATCGTCTCCATTGGAAACCGACTCAGTTTACTTTTTCTGCTAAGCATGTGACATGTTGAAACCAATGTTCGAAAACAACGACCTACGTTAGTAAACAAACACCAAAAGGGGGCGTATCAAAGACCGCAGTATCATTTACGCAAGGTATAGCCTCCGAAACAGCGCAATATCGGCGGAACAATTAGCCAACCATAGTGTTGTTGCACCATTGTAATAATCGGCTTTTGATGATAATAATCTCGGAGTTCTTATTACAAACCATTGTAAACAACTAACTGCATGTGAACATGTGACGTATGCATGCAGATTGGAGCTGTTTTACGACTCTATCGGGTGTAAACATAATTTTGTCAGATAACCGACATATTTCAATGTTTCAATTGGACAGTTCAAAATGATGACACGACTTTAGGTGACGGTTTCTAATTATTATTAACCACATGTGTTTTTTAGTCATTGAATACAACATTTTGCTTTTATCCAACCAGTAAATGAGGCGTGTTGTGAATTGACGAAACAATGTTCTGTTTATCCCCGACACCTATAAACTGCCATGTCGCTTACGAACTGTGACTAATGGACGACAGCAGATGCATACACACCTTCGATGGCGAGTAAACATGAAACCAAGAAGAAAGTATTCAGCACTGAAGTAGTAGCTACCGGAATGACGGTGTTTCGGTGATTGTTTTCAGCATGGAAACGTTTTCATACGTTTGTAATGTGTTGGTCAGATCTAATTTTCAAGTCTATACTTTCTTTGACATGCAGTTATGTCATCAAAACTAAAACCATTAAAATTATATCAACGTAATTACGTTAATGGAGTGTGTGAATGATGTGTCAATATCCGTCAACGTGACTCCTAGGGTATATTACACAATCATAATGTGTACAATTATTTTAATTATTTTCATTGCATAATCGACGGGTCAGCAATCAACTCGTCACTCGTTTATGTAACACTATGTAACTCTGATCAAGCGATTATTTTTGCAACACGTGTTTTAAAAGAACAATAACAGGTTCGCTCTGTTATTATTAATTGTTGCTTGGCCACAAGGCAAAACACCCTTAAACTGGAGAGTTAATTGTTTCCGAACACTTTCCTTATAATGAAGCCTTCAGCCTCTGTTCGGTTGTTGCAATTAAGCGATCTCCACTACAATTAGGTATTTTAATAGCTCTCAGATACTTCAAGGATCTGTCGCAGGTACAAGCTTCAGGTAAATATTCCTGGTCGACATAATGTGAAGTGTTTTGAGAACCTGATCATATGTTGCCGACGACAATTGGCCAGGTAAAATACGGGTGTTTTCGTGTGTTTTAAAACCACTTGGTCTCGCTCGGCCGATTTCAAAGGATCTGATTCGAGAACAACGCTGTTAGGAGCTCGTGTTTAATGTAAGAAGATGGGAGAATGAAACGTGCTGTGAAGAGTTCCGTGAAGTAGTTGTTGAGGGGTTGTGTGTTTCGGGCTTGGAAGATGAAGAGCCTGTTTTGATAAACTTACGTGCACTTAGTGCATGAGTGTGTTAATGTACATGTGTTATACAAAACATGATTTCTTTCTGTATGAAAACAGACTAACTACATTGAGATATCTTTTGACGAGTTAAACCAAGGTGGAACGAAGATTTAAATGTTTGTTTCCAAAATGAAATACGAATTTGTTCTTTTGTTTGAACATTTTAATTTTTATCGCCCGAATATAAATATGTCAGAATCGATCCTTTTAGAGAGAGGTACTTAGAAAACAGACAAAACAGTTTATTCGACAGTTCACAACCAATAAAGGAAAACACATTAGCTGAAGTACAGCTGAGATGGTTTATCTTTTAGATAAAAACCCCAAGATAATTGGGTATTTTTAGATTTCTCATTATATTCATTATATTATTATGTTTTTAAATGAATTACGAAGAAAAGCGACTGTACATTAAAATAGCGACGATATTTACATTTCGCTGTTGGATTGTAAGGTTTCACCATAGCGGTCAGCGATATATGAGGTCTAGCTGAGTGGACGAAACAGCCGGTAGATGGTTTGTATCCGATGCATAGATTAAAATCCCCGAATAAATGGACATAAACATGGTCGAAACAATTCATTATTTGAAATTTGAAAATAGAGATTACCAAAAAATCGCGAATTACCGTTAACAAAGGGCAACCCACTTGTCCACAAATACAAAAAAATCGAATGTTGCGTTCGGGCGTTGCGTTTTATTATCGATTTTCCGGTTCACAGAGAAGACCAGCTGTTGCCAATGAATAGCCTTGTCAAATCCAACCCGAGGCCATGACGCCACACTTCTTATGTTTTTTTCTGGCAGGTGGGACGGGGAAGTGCAGATACGGGGCAGTAACAGCTCTTAGATTTTTCAAATCTAACAAAGCATTGTCCAATCACGACTGATAAATTATTAGAGATAAAGAATGATCGACTGAGGAATAGTAAATAAAATTGTCCCAGATTTTATATAATCACATTGATTATGTCAGAAAGAAATTACTTCAAGAACAACCTCCCGGATTTTTCTACGAGATAAATCCTGTACGTAAGCTGTCTTTGTTTACATAAATTAATTTTTTCATGAAATTATAACATTTATTGCAACAAAACATAATTTTACGCCTAAGTTAGAGAAATTCGTTTTGGTTAAATTGTTATAAAGTAATGGAGCAAATACATAATTATGTGTGTGTGTGTGTGTGTGTGTGTGTGTGTGTGTGTGTGTGTGTGTGTGTGTGTGTGTGTGTGTGAGAGAGGAGGGGACGGGAGGGGTGTGTGTCTATTTCTCTATTATTGTTGACGGAACCTACTTCAACTAATTCCTCATAAAATCGATATATTGGGTAATAGTTTGTTTATGCTTAGCATGGGATAATCATAACATTGAACTCAGTTTTCAAACCAGGATGACGCACAGGTGATTACAGATATCAATATATCTTTCTTATGACATAATACGCATTTTAACAATTTAAATAATTTCTAATTCGCAGGTTATAATTTAGCGCCATTTTTCCAGGCTCCATAAAAGACAGGAAATACACTCGTCCCACTTGCCGCATTTGTGTATGTTTGATTTTCCTATCAAAAATTTGAAGATCAGTCTTGCCTGTACGACCCCTCTCCTTCTGCTGTTGTTGCATGCATTTTCTAAAAAAACCGCAGCAAACCTCACTCATTCACTTGGATATCATTGCTTGTATTCGTCTGATAACAAAGGTTACCATCTAATCAGTAACAAAGTTCAGTTCTTCCGGTGGTACGAGTCATTTCTTTTGTAATTCATTTGCCCGGGAACGTATGCAATTTGACAGATGTAAGGGTCATCAAGAGAAATGCTATTTTCTAACATGAAAACATCGATCGTAATTGCTGACGTAATAAGGCTAATATTAGCCAAATGGCACATTTACTAAAAAAGACAAATCACCAAATTTTCACGAGAATGTCAAAAGTCAAATCCATGATAAAATTATTTAGATTGAATATGATGTGATGAAATTGTTTAGATTAAATATGATTGAATTTGACTTTTCAATCAAATACATTGATACGCTTCACTTGGCATTGCATCCGGAATAGAAATGCGATGCGTGTCAACTCATCTTGGTAAACAAATGAGCGGTGTGATCATGTGACAGCCGGAAAGTGGTTACTTTACGACAACAATGCGGATTTCGGCAGGGAGTATTGTCAGCGACACCTATCGGTCGGATGTTGTTACCAAGAGCAAGGATATGGCAACCAAGGCACGCGGCATGCAAAAAGGCTAATC